CCTAAGCACAGCGATGCCTCCTCCCAACCCTAAGGACTACCACGAAGTGCTCCAGATCAGGCCGGACGCCTCCCTCGACGAGATAAGGGTCGCCTACAAGAAGATGGTAATGCCGCACTCTCCGGAGCTTGGCTCTCTACGCGCACTGATACAAGCGCGCCCGTCAGGCTCTGAAGTGGCATCCGGACCGGCACGCTACCGATAAAGAGTCGGCAAATGAAAAATTCGTGGAGGTACGATCTCAGTTCAGGTTGAAGGTCGAGTATCGGCTATAGTTTCAATCTACTTACAGGTGTATGAGGCGTATCGGACTCTGAGAAAACAGGCTCTGCGAGCCAGACATGTACACTTTAGCGATGAGCAAGGGAAACCGGCCGGTGAAACCGCGCCTTCACCTGAACCGAAATCCGAAGCGTCCAAAGGTCAGAAAGGATCCCCTCCTATGGGGACCAAAGCAACCTTCACTGAGCAAGGAAATGGCCCTTGTGAAGCTGCATTTTCCCCAAAGACGAAATCCCAAGCCTCCGAAGGGTCCAAGGGTTCTCCTCATATGAAGCCTAAACCACCCTTCACCGTGCCCGTGGAAAAACCTAAACCAGATCCCGATCGGTCAGTAGTTGGTACTGATTATAACTCTCTGCTCGGCGCTGATACTACTATCCCCAGCAGTCATCCTCCCTCCGGCGTGCCAGGCAGCCCCAGCGCCCGCTCAGACTCCACAGCTTGCCCAAGCCTGCACGGACAACATAGCCCTAACCCTAGATCAGCTCCTTTGCGTCCCATCAACCACCCTTCCTCGATCGGTGGCGAATCGAAGGAATGGATCTTCCCCCTTCACCTCACCCTCTCCGAACTCTTCCGCGGCACGTGCCAGCGCTACAGCATCGGGCGGCACCTTCTCTCGGGCGAGATCAAGACGGCCCTCCTCGATGTCGAGATTCCACCGGGGTGCAGGGACGGCGCGCGCATCCGCGTCCCTGGCGCAGGCAACCAGCGCCGGGACGGGTCCCTCCAGGACATCGTGTTCCTGGTTGTACAGAGGGAGGACGGGATGTTTGTGAGGGAAAGGGACGATCTGGTCACGTATGTGCAGCTACCGTGCCGGGAGTCGTCCTGCTATTTCGAGCAGGATGACGTCGTGTATGTGGAAGGGATGGACGGTCACATGTACCTCGTCCCGGTGCCTTTGTCGTCTTCGAAGGCTGCGGAAGACTATCATATCAAGGGCGCGGGAATGCCCATACGGAAGGGAGGACGTGTCGTTGGTTACGGTGATATGGTGATAAGGTATGCGGGTGGTGTTTTCGCCGCCGGGAAGTCTCAACTAACCATCGCCCAGGTGGAACCTTATCTGTCTACACAAAACTGCGCATCCGAAGCGCAAGATTCTGAGAAGGCGTCACACTTGACGTACTTGTGAAGCACGGGACTATTTCCTCAGTTGGGTTTGCAGGGACTATTTATTATATGCGGTATGCAAGGATATACGGACATTGTGCCACGGACATTGTATCGTATGCTGTACTCATACATGTACATATATGCCCACTATGCTTTAGCCATCCAAGTTTACAGTTATCCCCGTATTACGGCGGTAGCTCGATGCCAGCCTGAGTAATCGCGGATAAATTGGCTTCCAGTGATACTATTGCATCGATCGGCGAGCATTATATCCTAAGATGCTGGGGACGCTGTACATAACATACTACAGGACCATCAAGGTATTCAAACAAAAAAGGGACAAGTCGCAATCAGGAAGGTGCTCATGATGTATACACTACCATCATACGCTTGTCCAGGTGAGATCCATAAAGCGAGAGATAATATTGCACTTACCTGAAAGGATGCGTCAAATCCCTGAGTGACGTTGCAGGCGAGGACTGCAGAGGAGTTCGTTGCGTTTGTTACTACGGTCCCGAATAAATATCCGGTACCAGCGTAACAAGCGACAACGACGGGGTTTCGCCCTCCTCGGGGTAGGCTGCCCGGGTATATTAGCAGGAAGGAGGGGAAAGAAAGTATACCCAGCAGTCTGGCACAGAATGTGTGTGGATCTGACCCTGCTACAGTGGAAGCCATCATGATGATGGCGGTAAGCGTTGGGAGGACGAGGGAGCAGAAGCGCATGGCGTCGGACTGGAGTTGGGCTTGGGCATAGGGAATTTGTGGTAACGGTAAGAGAGAGGGGTTGTAGGGAGGGAAAGAGGGAGCCGCGCAGCTTATATAGACAGTGTCACTGCAGAGGAGCAGCAAGGTGTCCCCAGTCAAAGAATCGAACCGCAGAAATAGAATGAAGGGTTCCTTCACAGCGGTCAGAAGACCCGGAACATATAAGAGGCGTTGAGCGCCGTGAGTGGCCATCCCTGGAGTATATTAGCCTCCCGGCTGTGCATGACACAGTCATAGCCGGTTCCCTACCAAGTATATTATACCAACTATACTCACTGCTACGAACTTGACTTGATCGTCCATGCTTTGTGGTGTGGCTCGCTGTAAGTATTAAGGTGCCAGGGTAACTTTTCACATATCGGACAACATGCACCAGGAAACGATAAACCATGTCACAGATATTGAAATCTACGTGTTTCACTCGCAGCAGAAGTCGTGCGTTAGGCAAGGGGAGCGCATCAATGAATGTGGCCCAAGAAAGATCCTACGATAAAACTTGCCAAGTTCGAGGAGATATCTCAATTACTGATTGATATGGCACTGGCATCGCTGGTACGAGGACTCCGAAGGCGGCACTTGGAGTCAACGTGTTAGATTATAATCCGTCCCCGGATATGAAGTGTGGCAAAACCATACCTTCCCGTTCTCATGATGTCAGAACACGGAGCGGTAAAGGAGAATGCGATGAATCAGGCAGACAGAGTGACATGCCTGGAAGTCGTCTTGAACGTAGACTGGTATGATTTCCTAGTTTCCAGTATGGTAAGGCCTTCTTCGATATGCCGTTGCGGCGTTGCCATCTTGCTGGCTGACTATAGAGGACTCGGGAGGCAAGAAATGCCGTTCTTTAAAGCATATCACATCGCACGCGTGCCAGCTTCGAAGTCTCTCCAATGAGCTGTCCAGCCTTGCAGATACGTGGGCGGTGCCAGTGGTGACCTTGCAGGCACGACCTAGCGACGTCGGCCTGGCCGTTCAGGCATAAATAAAAATGCACATTGCAGGAGAGAGCGACACTCAGATACTTGAACAAAGCTGTACATCACATACTACGAGCACATCAAGAAAGCCAGCAGGGAAGCCAAGCGCAAATAAAGGGCGCTCGTGAGGTCAAGCCACCTTCCGTTCACTAAGGTCAGAGATGGCGAAGCGTCAGCTCATAGTACACCTACCTCACGGAATGGGCGCGATAAGCGCAGTCGTGGCACAAGCCGCTGAAGAAGTTCCCAGAGCTGCGTTACAAGCAAGGACTGCAGCGGGGGCCGCGGGGGCTGCTACGACGGTCCCGAATGTGAATCCGGCACCGGCGTAGCAGGCGACAGCGAGGGCGTTGCATCCTGCATGCGTAGGCACCCGAGCCGTTTGTCATCCAGGAATACACGGTGAGAGAGCATACGGACCGGTCTGACAGATGCCGTAGGCGATGGGCCCGGCAATGGTGGAGGGGATTGAAGCCATGGCAGCGAGCAACGGGAGAG